GGAAAGAGAGAGAAGAGGCGAAGAGAGAGTTCGTCGAGACGATGAAAGTGATGGAAAGGCAGCTGGGAGAGAACACGTACTTCGGAGGAAACGACGGCGTTTCGGTAGTGGATTTGGCGTTGATATCATATTACCCGTGGTTTCACACGTGGCAGACATTCGGCGGGTTCAGCCTCGAGAAAGAGGCCCCAAAGTTAATGGGCTGGGCCCAAAAATGTTTGACCCGACCCGGGATTTCCAAATCTCTACCCGACCCGGTTAAGATCTTGGAACGTGTCTCCACGATTCGTAGGATCCACGAGTTCTTCTACGGCGACTGAAAATGACGTGTAACGGTTCAGTGGACGTGACGTTTTCAAGCCGTGTTGTTTCCGTAATGTTAATTCTTATGAATAAAAATCATGCCTTTGTTGTTGGTTTTTTGTTTGAAATATATATATAGAGAGGTTTAATTTAAAAAAAAAAGCAATGAAGTTTTTTTTTTCGTATATAATTTTATTTGGTAGAGAAAAAAACAACAATATCTAGATAGTTCAACCGTATGAAATAGAGATATAAAGTGTTTATAATCTCGTCTCCCATTTGAGTTTTAAAGTGGGGAGAAAAGAACAAATTCTAATCATATAACCCGGTTCATTCTAACAAAAAGATATATTTTTTTAACCAATAGAATTTGATGTAAAAAATTATTAAATATAATTTAAAGAAATAATCTAAGTTGAAAATGATAAAAAAAAATCAAATGAAAACAAAAACTTAATGTAAATAAATATTATTTTTTATACAAATTAAATAAAAAAACAAGAACGAAACCAGTTAAAAAATTGTATGGACATCGATTTTTCAAATGTACAATATATTAAAAAACGATATAAGATGGGATTCTAAATATAAAAAGGAGTTCAAAGTGAACACAGTATTCTATAAAGTCCTATTAAATGCGAATTATTGACAGTACGAAATTATAACCTTTTTTGTCGTGGAGTGGATTACGTGGAACTAAAGTTACGCTCTTGGCTTTTTTTTTTGTCTTATGATAATGATTAAGATGGTAATGAACGTTAAATATGATATTATGGCTTTTGGACAGTTTTGGTACGACGGATATGATTGTAGAGATGTGGTAAAAGTTGGAAAACTTAAAATAAAATATAAAACACCAAAAAAAACATACATAATTATGAAAAATTGATTAGGCGTAAGGTAAAATTAAGATCCAATCATTGAAATGAATTATGAAAAGGGTAATATTCAATATATATATGCATATATATGTATATATATATATGAAACCATGAGAAAGCAAAAGTTTACATGATGATGATAAAAGTGTGTGCAGGTTTTTAGAGTTTGAGTTCCTGTGATTTAATTTTATGCCAATTCGATTTTATCTTAAAAGATAACTAGAATTAGCTTATTTTTGTTATACATAATAACGTTGATATAATTATAGTCTAACATGTAAAAGAATATTTAAAAATAACCTATAATATATTTCAAATTTTAATACCAATTCGATTCATCTATTTTTTTAATAAATATGATTTTTATGTTAATTTAGTATATTTGTATTTTTTATATATACTCTCTTTTACTATTCATATCTTATTCAATTTAATTTAATTGTAACTCACGAAATATCAACCTCTAAAGTCTAAAATACTTTTTTTAACTAAATGATAGTTATTACAATGATGAGGGCATGAATAAAAAAAAGTTTTTTGGCACCGATAAGAAATTAATGCCCGGGTCAAACAGTGATTTGTTTATTTATTTTTTGTGGGTAGTGGTTGAGATTTTATATTACTTTTAATAATAATAATAATAATAAGGATAAAACCTCTAAAAAACCTCTAACGCAAAAATATATACAAATAAATTTTTAATTTGAAAAACTATCATTCAATCTCCGAACTTGTGACTTGTCACTGAATAAAATATCGAACTTACAAATTATTGCTCTAATGAATCTTTGACCGGTTTGACCACAATTTCAGGCGATCGGAAATCCACGTATTAGCGGATTGCTGATGTCACCTTATACACGTTATCAATTTTAATTTTAAAAATGACATCAGCAATCCGTCAATACGTGGATTTCCGATCGTTTGAAATTGTGGTCAAACCGGTCAAAGGTTTATTAGAACAATAATTTGCAAGTTCGAGGTTTTATTCAGTAACAAGTTACAAGTTCGGGGATTGAATGACAGTTTTTCAAGTTAAAGATTTATTTGTATATATTTTTGCAACTTGGAGGTTTTTTAGGGGTTTTACCTTAATAATAATAATAATAGTAATGATGCAATGGTAAAATGGGAGTATAATTAATTAGAAAGGGACGTTTCGGTTCGATTTCTCGAAATTAAATTGTAACGAATTGAAAATCTCGATATTTTTTTTTCGAATCACATCATTCAAAAAATTATTGAACGATATATTTTTTATAGAAACAAAATTTATAGAATTAAACTTTATAAAATTTTCGAAAAAATAAATTTTCTTTAAAAAAAATCTAATTTTTGTTTAACAAAAACTGAACTGAACTGTACCAAAATCAGAATCGAACCGAATTAAATAAAATATAGTTCATACAAAAATTTAAAATATTAAATAAATCGTTTTCGAACCAAACCGCTAAAATTTCGAAACGAATCCTAAAACGTGTAGAGTGTAATTAATTGTTGTTGATAGGAGAAGCTTTTGCACAAACACAATATGTTCCCATTTTTTGTATTTTTTTTTTATAACACTCATATTATTGGTGAGGGAAGTTGAACGCTTGAGGCATGACTCATCCTTTGGGCACTAAGTTGAATGATGTTCACCCAAATAATTTTATATCTAAATATTAGTTTAAAAAACAGCAATATAATAAGATGAGATGCTTAGTTGAATACAATTAAAAATGGAATAAAAAGTTATGATATAAATACAAAATTACATTTTCTTTCTATGGTTAACATCATATTTTAAGAAATTCCGTTTAATAAATATATAAAGTCTTTTTTTTAAATAAATATATATATATATATATAAAGTCTTTTGTATTTTAATTATTTTGGATCGGTTTTTTGTATTATGAGGAATTGCGATATATATATATATATATATGATATGTATGTGGGCCATATGGCCAGTGAAATGATTAGAGAGAGAGAGAGGTTATCTCAATCTGCTGGTTGCCACGTCAGACGTTTTATCCATTTGGTACGAATTTTAATTATATACTTTATATTATTCGATAAAATCCTAATTGCATTCCCCGTAATAAGCTCCAATTCCTCTCCCTCATCCCCGATCCCTCCTCCTCCTCCTCCATCGTCTCTCTCTCTCTCGGTGTTCAGATGGGTAATGCCAACGGCAAAGAAGACGACGCCGGCGGCGGCGGCGGCGTCGAAGGTGGCGGGGGAGATAGCATGTTGTCCTCGGCTAGATCCAACGGCGGCGATCCCGGCGGCCGGAGCAATCCTCGCCGTCCCTCCTCTGACTCCATGAGCAGTTCTCCTCCTGCAAGCCCCATTCGCTCCCAGTCTCCTTTCCTATTCGCTCCTCAGGTCTCTCTCTCTCTCTGCGCTTTTCATTGAATTCGGTATCTGGGTTTGGATTATTTGCCTGAGAGATTTTGTTGAACATTCGCTGAATCTTCGTCAATGGTCATAGAGTTTCCTCGTAAGTTTTAACCCATGAGCTCTCTCGTCGAACCAAATAAGGATCTCTTGACGTTTTCATATGTTTCCCCATTGAGAATTCTGTTCATTGTGTTTCCCCAGGATCCGAAGCCCAACCTTCTAGAATTTTTTGTTGTTCTGTATAAAGCAATCTCGTAGGATTTTGAATTTAGCTATGAGCTCGAAGTGCAGAGTCAACGCTTTGAGAATTTGGCGAGAGAAAGATTCGTTCTTTCCCCTGTTTTAATGGCTATGGGTACAGTTTATGAAACATCTCTTAAAGCTTGTGTCTTTTAGATGCCATAACTTTGAAAATGTGGAACCCTGATGGTAGTTTTTTCACTGGTCATTGCATCTGTATTTGACGAAGCTTCATTCTTGGACTTAGATCCGTTTATATATGGAAACTTTTTCTTGATTTCGCATAGATACGATCCATGTTCCTCTCTAGTTTTCCCTGCTTTGGTTCTCACTGCATCCGTGTCTTGGCAGTAATTGGTCTGGTCCTTGTGTGATTTTTTTTTCCTGTTAAGGTGAAAGATAGGGCAGGCTGCAAGACCAGACCCTCTTTTTTCTTGTTCTAAATCAAATTTCTGCAGATGGGCAAACGTGCTAAGCTTAAATTCACATGTTTATCCAATCACAGCTTCTTGTTTTAGTCATTCTTCCTAAACTTGGAAAATGGTTGTTGTAAGTTCTGAAATGCCATGAAGCTAAGCCTTCGAACTACAACTAGTTAGGTATATTGGTGAAAGTAGTTAGATCGTTTGTCTTTTGTCATTCAGCTCTCATATCTCCTCGAGTATTTTATGCTCATTGTCTGCTTTTCACATCTCTATTCAGTATTTTTTCGCTGTAGTTTTTCGCAACCCACGATACTACATTCGCTAGGTCACCAACTTTATCTTCGACAATCTACACGTCTGCCTTAAGAGGAATAAAGTGAAAACTGTATGAAAAACATCCGATTAGGAGTAGAGAATCTATGAATTATGGTATTTGAACGTGAGAAATTGTTCTTATGTAAGATGGTAACAACAATATTTTAGATTGCTGTTTTAGTATGTGAATTCTATCCATATACGGTGTGAGATCTTACGGCTTTAGTTTTTGGCGCATATATGCAGGCACCCGTGGCTCCATTGCAAGTGTCCAATGCCCCTCCGGTTCCTAGTCATATCCGGTTGAACCAATATCAAGGAAATGTTGATAATCCCTTGGAACCAGGAATCCCTACCATCATTACGTGGAATCTGGGGGGTAATGACGTGGCAGTTGAGGGATCATGGGACAATTGGACATCGAGGTAAGGTTTTGGTTCACAAAAATCATGCTATGAAGTTTTTTTCAAGAATACCTGTTTATAGGATTACTATCATTTCCTGCAGGAAGAAACTGCAGAGATCTGGCAAAGACTATTCGATACTCTTAGTACTTCAATCTGGTATATACCATTACAAGTTCATCGTGGATGGAGAACGGAAATACATCCCGGATTTACCCTTAGTATCCGATGAAATGGGCAGCGTTTGTAACATTCTCGATGTTCATGTAAGTAAATTTGCACCTTTCTCTCATTTCTTTTTTCTGCTGGTGCAGCACAGTCCCTAGTCAAAATGATTTCCTGTCTTTAACCGGGATTATGCTACAAGGGTCACTCTGAAAGCTGACATTTTTGTTTATTTTTCTTGCAGAACTTTGTGCCGGAAAACCCCGAAAGCATAGCAGAGTTCGAGGCACCACCATCCCCAGAATACAGCTACAGCCAACAGCCCCTTAGCGGGGAAGATTTCGCTAAAGAACCTCTAATGGTACCTTCCCAACTCGGTCTAACCGTTCTCGGTGCCGGTGACACAGCCATTGCATCTTCTTCTTCTTCTTCCTCCTTGTTTCCGGCTTCTTCCTCAAAGCCTCAGCACGTGGTGCTTAACCACTTGTTTGTACAGAGAGAACGGGAATCTCAGCCCGTTGTGGCCTTAGGGCTAACCCACAGGTTCGAGTCCAAGTACATAACTGTCGTCCTCTACAAGCCGCTTAGACGGTAACCACGTAAACCCTTTTCTCTTACTCGTTTCCTTTTTCAAATGGATGATTCTTTTCTCTTTTTCTTTTTTCCCGATTTCGTTGAACTTATGCCTGCCGATATTAACTTTTAACGCATCTTACCAAGTGTCAAAGTTATTTTCTTCCTTTGTTTAACCTTCTGATTATCAGAATTCCCAACTTCCTGATCAATCTCTGCTATGTTATGTAAGAAAAGCTTTTCATTGGAACCAGAAAGAAGCTGCCTTTGAATCAGTTTTCAGGCAAAGATCGGTTTTCTTCACCCGATTTTCATACAAACCTATTCCTGGACATCTGCATATGTATACCCTATACATCTCTAAACGACTAGATCATCAAACAGTATCCAAGTATCATATAATGCGAGATATCACCACAAAAGCCAGTCTTTCAGCTGGGTGGGGGTATCTACAGGTTCTTCTTTCTTTCTTTCTTCTCTATGCACTTTGTTATTGGTTTGGAATGGTGAACTAGAGAATGGTACATGTAGGGGAACGTTGGCAGAAACGGGTTAATCGGCAGCCATTAGGCTTGGTTTCGTCGGTTTTATGATGGGTCGAATCCTCACCCTTCTTCTTGTTCTTCTTCATCTCCTTCTTCTCCTTCTTCTTCCTCTTCCTCTCTTCCTCTTTCTTTGTCCTCTTCTTTGAACTAAAGCATTTCCAGCCGCGGCTGCAGAGAAAGGTTGACAAGAGGGAGGAAGAAACAGTGTTGGATTCATTTAGAGGAATCTTTCTTGTGGGTCTGGTTTCCACTTGGGTTGATAGGTATGTAAAGCCAATAGGAGCTTTGGTTAGGATTGGAGGTGTAACATTGGTAAAATAAAGTTTATATATATATATATATATAAAAGAAATGAGAATAATAGGTGAAGGCAAGGCAGAGCTAGGAAAAGCAAAATAAAAAACGACTGATGATTTTGGACATTTGGAGCAATAAAAAAAATCTGAAATTTTGTCCAAATATGCTCCAAAACTATGGGATTATAATTGGTTAAACATATGATGAGATGACCCTTTTATACTTAAAAAAAAAAACAAATTGAATTAAAAGGGTTGGATGCCCAAAATCACCGACGTCTCAATAAAGACGAGAAAGAAAAAGAAAAGACGGCTGATGATTTTGGACTTTTGGAGCAATAAAAAAACAAAACCAAATGTCTGAAATTTTGTCCGAAAGATGGCACTTGCGTTTGGTCGCATTTTCCGAGAGTTCAATTTTCTTTTTATTTTGTTCGATCTTATCTTCTATTTGGTCACTCGTGGCCCAAGGGCTAAGGAAAAGAGAATTTTATATTGAAAAAATGATTTTCTTTTTCCAATGTTCAAAGCTTGTAACCTGCGTGTAAAAAGCTCAAAGCGATGTACATGCATTGTAAAAAATTAAATTTTGAGACAGCAAAAAAGAAGATGCAGAAAGGAAACACCATGGAAAGAAAGAAAGGAGATAAGCATACCGTAACCAAGCCATCAATCATCATCATGATTTTGAAATGTTCCCAAAACCCAAAACCCTAAACGACTATCTCAAAATTTCACCCAAAAAAGAAAAACCCTTTCTCCTTGCAAATTTCCAAATAAGGGAGAGAGAGAGATGTCAAAGAGGATCATACGGGAATTGTTCACATAAAACAAAACACAAAACACAAAACACAAAAAAAAAAAAACCAAATGGATTAAAATAGAAATATCATCATCAAGCCTGTCTGGTTTTTCTTTTTTGCTCTTCCCCGTTTCATTGTTTTTTTTTCCATAATTAGAAAGGAGAAGTGGAAATCGGGATAATCTGAGTTTGTTTGGATCAAAGAGAGGGGGGAAAGATTCTCACTTGGCCATCATGACTTTGACAAACTCCTCGTAGTTGATCTGCCCATCTCCATCCACATCCGCCTCTCTTATCATCTCATCGACTTCCTCATCCGTCAGCTTCTCCCCCAGATTCGTCATCACGTGCCTCAGCTCGGCCGCCGATATGAATCCGTTCTGGTCCTTGTCGAACACCCTGAATGCCTCCTTTAGCTCTTCCTCCGAATCCGTGTCCTTCATCTTCCGCGCCATCAGGTTCAGAAACTCGGGGAAATCTATGGTTCCGTTCCCGTCAGCATCCACCTCGTTAATCATGTCCTGTAGCTCGGCTTCCGTCGGGTTCTGCCCGAGAGATCTCATCACTGTCCCGAGCTCCTTGGTCGTGATGCATCCTGCAACGGAATTTAGGCGGGTTCAGGTCGTGTTCGATCCCTTGCTCGATTGAAACAAACATGTCGATCAGCTAAGGACAGATGCATTGTGACGTTCTGGAAAAGAGGCTTCAAACATATGGTCGAAGAGATTAAAATTTCCAATATCTCATACGTTAGCATTTTGACTAGAAGGAACAGAATTTCCAACACAAGGATCATCTCAAGAACTCAGCCGAAAACAACAAATGAACAACATGAAATCGAACACGTGAAAGTAACAGATGGAGACACCATGACTTCACCAATCAGGCGGTACAACTCAAACATGCTCTAATTTTACACTCTGCCACATATTTCATCTAATCAAATCATTCATTTACAAGACCGACAGCCACTAGGCAAGCAAAGATTCACATGCACTATATAGAGAGACAGCTCAGGAAAATACGTATAACAGGCTTCATGTCTTCCTAATGTGAAAAGGCAAATCGATACAGGCACTTTGCTCAACAATTTAACTTTTCATTGTGCTCGATAAAAGGTCGAAGGATGAGCACAGCACTGAGAATGATGCAATAAATCTAAGCCTAGAGGATCACTAAGGATACCCACCAAGCATATAAGAAGCAAGATCGAAACATCCACCGTAATCAATCCTTAACAAACCTCTGAAAACTTGTAGTGTAAATCCAGTTTTCGAAATTTGGACACACCAAAAGACATTATACTAACAAGCTTCACGAAAAAAAGGTCCATTTCTACATCCTTCCTATATCTAATAGGTTCGATTCAAGCCAAGACCGGGCGGAACAGGAAGAAGTGGACCGGAGAGAAGAAGATGGTGATAAGAACCAACTAGATAGAACTTACCCAAAAGCCAGCCTGTAGGGCAGGGTGTTTAAGTTCATGATAAGCCCCACATCAAGTCCGATGTGAGACTCCCAATCCCAAATCCATTGTCTTACGAATCCTAACCCTAACAGATCGCAAGAAAAAAAAGAGACCACGATTTCGATCTTACCTCGAAACACGAACAGATTACACAAAACATCGTCGAGAACAACACAAATGCGGGAAATGAACAATCAAGCAACCCCAGGACGAAGCGATCGGACAAGCAAACAACCACGACAGTCAAACGAATCGCACGAAACGAGGATCGAAATCAACGAAACAAATGTGAGATCGCGCTCGAAAAAAAAAAAGAGCAAGAGAGATCTGAGAGAAAAGACCATCGCCGTCCTTGTCGAAGAGGCTGAAAGCTTCCTTGAACTCGGAGATCTGATCGTCGGTGAGCTGATCCGCCATTGATTCGCTTTTTCCTTGTAGAGTTTGGGAACTGAGAAAATGGAGAGAAAACTCTTTGCAAGTGATTTCTCAGACTCAAGCGTGTGAGAGAGAGCTGTGTGGCTTATAAAAGGGAGACTATTAGGGACATGAATTGACGATTTTACCCTTGACTTCTCTTGTTATTTTCGGTTTCTGCACTTGCTTTTAGTTTTTTTAGTTTAGTCTTTTTTGGTACTATATTTAGGATAATGTTGTCTGACTAAACTTGTTCATTGGATCAATTTGATGAACTAATTTCTCCCTAATATCAGCCAAATTCTAGATTCTGTTAAACTAGTAAACAATAATTTCTTTCGGATTTATTTATTTAAAAAAATTTGTAAATTTAATTGCTTGGATTAAGATAGATAGTTTCGATTTTGGAAATAAAAAACAAATGAGATAATTTTTTTCTGAAAAAACTCGATTCAAAATATGACAATGTGCAATAAAAAAAAAACAAATCGCCGTTGCCGGGGATCGAACCCGGGTCACCCGCGTGACAGGCGGGAATACTCACCACTATACTACAACGACTTTGTTTAAATCTGCTAATATTTATTAATTTATACATTTTAAATTAATGATGGGCCTTAAATTGGGTAATAAGCCCATACCGAACATTAAGCCCGCTGACATAACCAATGGGTATTATCTACACAATGAAAGTAGTGATTTGTTTTTCTTTAATTATCACAAACTCCGAAAATTGATATTTTTATTTACGCGAAAAAATATTTTATTATTATACAATTCGAACTTGTTCATTGTTAAAATATAGTAGTGGAAAGCAGCAAAATATCAATTTCGACGTGCCATATTTTTCAACAGAGTCGGTAAGATGATGACCATTTTGATGGTTCGTACCATTTTTTTTTGACAAACCGGTTATTATTAATTGAATGAGATCCAAATTCATATCACTACAAAGATTATATTACATATAAGATTACCCTTTTCTTATATTGTCCTAGATTCCCTTAACATGGATTGTCTCTAAAAGTTTGGTCCAACAAATAAACAAACAAACAAATATTTCACTAGATTAAGTTCTTTATCCATTGTTTCAAATCATCACAACAAGGAAGAAAGTTCTCTATCCAATGTTTTGAGAAATATAACTAAACTATTAGTTTTATATTAATAGAGTGCGGTTACAAGGATTAAAAAAAATACTTGTAAATTGAGATATTGTACATAGAAACCATTAAATTAGGACAAATAAATAAATTTTAACGGTGCCAATCGTAATAAAATTCAATTCCAAGTTTGGGGAGATAAGAATCATCATCATCTCCATTATCGGCTCACTACTGCTTTTTTTTTTTTGTTCTTTTGGTTTTGTTTTTTTAAAATATTCTTTTAGAAGTAAGGTTTTATCCAAAATCTTGTGAGGATATATGATATAAAGTACGTCAAAAGTTAGATTATAACTATATATATATTTTTTAAAATCAAACCTTTTTGGTCGTAAAGAATACATTGGAGGGAGCTTGTGGGGCTTTTTTCTCGATTCTTTGTGCCCTTTTTTCCTTATTTTTAATACAAAAAATTTCATGATAACAAAAAAAATTATTACTACTCTATCTACTATTAAATTCTATCGTATTTATTTAACATTTATTTCTTGAATTTAACAATATAAAAATTGAATTCCATATTAACAGTGGAAATGATTGATTTTAATGTAGAACTTTGATAGTTTAGTGTACTCGTTTGAATTCTTGATGAATATAATGACTTCTACATTCATGGAATCCATTGATCCTTAAATTGATTTTATTCCCTCTATTTTATCATCTTGTCTTTTCATAAGCTAAGCAAAAGTATTGTCAATATGGAAAGTATATATATAACCCTATATATATATATCTTCCATTCCATTATACTAAGATTTGAACTAATTAAACTGGTTGGTCCAATCTTTTTCATACAAGGTTAGGGTTAGATTTCGTAATCTTTGACCAAATTGATTCAAGATTCTTGCACACAAAAAGCTTGGATTATCAGTGCCTAAAACACTGAAATTTGAGGTTATGTCATTTTCCAAGATATTTGGGGGCAGACACAGTCAATTATCGTATCAACCTCTCGGATCTCGTACCATTTATAGTTCCTATAATTTAGATTTGCTCCCATATTCAAACGAAATGTGTTTATGAATCATGTGTACTTTGTTTTTAGAATTATATATAGAATATGGTCCTTATATATTTATTTCAAATCGAAAACTTTTCGGTCCGCTATATAAATCTTAAATTGATTGTGGAATTAGAACTAAATCTAACATGATATGACATGTTAAGGAAACAACAATTAATTGAAACCTTACTTTTATTATCGTAGAAATATGATTGACCGGGCATATCGTTTTATAATTTCTCTGCAAAAATGTGGCATGCGATATAGGAACAACTATTTTTATTTTATATACAAAATCTTAATTTCTAATTTAATCCATAAAATATGGTATGTGCACATTAGTCTTTAAATTTATTCGAGATGTGATTTAGGTCATAAAACTTATGTAGATTATATAATTAGCTAACAAATGATATCAACTAGGCTTATCCACAAAATAATACATTAGGTTAATCAAAATCAAAATCGAAAACGACATCCATTACAAACTAGCTATAGGGAATATTGGACCAAGAGATTTCATTACTACGGGTGGCAATTTCGGTTATTCGGTCCGGATCGGATCAAACAAAATCCAACTTAAAAAACGAACGATTATATTTTCTCTAAACCCGAAAAAATCGAAACTGAACTGATTAAAAAATAACAGAAAAAACCGATAATTTTTTTTAAAAATGAATTTTTTATAATAAAAAACTGAATCTCAATCAAATCGAACCCAACCAAATCGAAGTTTATATAAAAACCGAATGGTTATAGTTTTTTCATAATCGAAATAATCAAAACTGAATATAATCGAACCGAAAACCGAAATCGTCATCCGTAATCATTACCTTATATTTCTAACAGGCTTATCTTTACTCATTGATTTTACAAGAAAATTGACGTTGTCTTTTTTAACCCATATTTTTTTTAATGTATTTACACAAATTACACGTCTTTATGAACAAAATTATATATACAATAAAAGATTTTTTATTCCCAATAATTTATTTATTAGAGTGTGAAACCGGTTTAGTCAATTTGATTTGATATGGTATGACATGGTTAGATTTGGAAGAAACATGTATAAAAACCGTATTTATTCACAATATAAATTTTTTTCCGGGTATAAATATTTGCATTATCTCCGATTCAATACTGTTATCGTTTATAGTTGTGAGACAAATGGTCTACATGAATATATATATATGTATATATACACGAATGAATGCATAAAGTCCACCCTCTTTTGAAAACTATTTCATGCCAAAGTTATTTCATTTAATTATTCTAATTAATTTACGTATAAACTAATTAAGTAATAATAACTCAATATCTCCAATTATATTTATTCATTAATGTACACTAAACCTTTTTTTTGTATGACTATATACACTAAACCTGAATTTCAGTGACGATGCTAAAGGAAAAAAGTTGTTATTATATGTCACTTGATTTTTTATAAAATATCTTACAAGATCAAGTGTACTAATAGTTGAAATATCTTTGGTTTCTAAGATATAAATTCGGCTTTCTAAGTGATTTATTTGGTTTATATTGATTCATTTTAGAATATGATTATACCGAATTGAAAATTTAATAATTATAACCAAAATTATAGACTTTTTAAATTCGGCTATATATGCAAGCCTACATTATATAAAATGGTGAAATGTAAAGTAAGGATTTTGAGATTAGTAGGTTAATCACTAGGCGTTTATGGATGATCATTACTTTATGAGACATGAATCCGTTATTAATTTAATTCAGCCGGAATTTATGATGCGAATGTCAGTCCAAATAGTCATTTTTAATACAAAGTCAGACAAAATAATTTTCCTTAAATACCTAAGGCATTTAATTTCATATATATATATATATAATAATAATTCAATTAAATTTGACATATAATCATGCGAATATAATTTTTTAAAAACAAAAAAATACAAATCCAAAATTAATTCAATTGAAACTCCAAATGTCAATTGTTATCTTGATCATAAAAAAAATGCTTCGATTACTTTTTTTCAATTTCTGATAATACATTATGGATCTATTGATCATTTTATGTCAATCAAATGTAATGGCATATCTCGAAATAGTTTTTGCTATATTTTAAAATTGTAACAGGAAATGGAATATATATATATATATATGTATATACTGCATTAAATTAATATTAAAATTTACATTGTTTAATCTGTTTAGTTCCGTGAAGCCACCACCCATTAAGCCCATTCCCATATGTACTCTAACCACGCCCACACGTAATGACCAATAATATGCATATATATCAAGTGTGTGTATATGCCAAGTAACGGTGTTCATTTGATTTTGGTAACTATTCTATGACCAAACAGCAAAGCGAAATCAAGGATTATAACTACCACTTTTTATGGATCACGTGGCGTGACAATAACTATAATAGTTGGGCATAATATTTACTTATAATTAGTACTAATTTTTGTTTGATGGGTAATTCCCAAAATTAACTTGTTTTTACATCAAAATTATAATAGAAAGTGCCGTGCAAAAGAAATTAAAAACCAAATTAATTCAAACACAATATGTATTGGAAATTGTTCTATGAATGATCGAAGTTGATGATTAGCACGTAGTTAAGTTTTTAAACCAAAAAGGACAATATATTCTAAATATTATTACATATTCCTATATTAATCATGACTTTCTATCTCAATCTTTCATAATTAGATCAAATTTCATAATTTAAAAAATCTTAGATCCGAGGACAACATAAAGATTCATACATAACTCGGAAAACAAAAAAAAAGGTGGTATCCAAAGGAACACAAATATCTCTAACAAAGGAAATAATTAATTGAATTATTTCAATAATTTCCCATTCAGTAATGCAGTGTCATGCATGTCAATTTTCTATGGGATGAAATTTACTTTTTTATTTTTTTTTATACGAGACAGATTTGAGCATCCTTTAAAAAAAACATTCTTAAGAGAAAAATAAATAATATTTAATATTTAGTTAATATTCGACGGCGAGATTTATTGATTTTAGATTGAAATTAATAAATACGTATTTTTTCTCCTATTTAAGGGCAAAGCCACAGCTTCTCCCACCACAAACAAAAAGTCCTCTCCGCAAAAGCTTAAAGAAAAACACTTGCATTCACAAAATCAGTCTCTTTCTGAAACCCCACCGGAAAAATTCTCCGGCGATCTAAATCACGAACAACTGACATGATTGCGTACATAGAACCCTTCTTCCGCGATAATGACCCCGATGGCGGTTTGTCCATGTCCATCGACATAAAGGGCACGATCATCTGCGGCGGAGCTGCGGTGGAGATTGCCGGAAAAGACTTTGGCGGCATGAACTCCGTCAAGCCACTCGCCGTTGTGAGACCCACCGGACCGGAGGACATTTCCCGCGCCGTGAAGGCGGCTCTGCTTTCCGACAGCCTCACCGTGGCGGCACGCGGGAACGGACACTCCATTAACGGACAAGCGATGTCCGAAGGAGGGGTCGTCATTGACATGAGATCGACCGAGGAGAATCACTTTCAGGTGGGTATCTCCGGAGACGGAGCTCCGTTCGCAGACGTCTCCGGAGGGGCATTATGGGAAGATATCTTGAAACGGTGTGTTTCTGAGTACAGTTTGGCGCCAAGGTCATGGACGGACTATCTCGGGTTAACGGTCGGCGGGACGTTATCTAACGCCGGCGTAAGCGGACAAACTTTCCGTTACGGACCACAGACGGAGAATGTAACGGAGTTAGACGTCGTCACCGGGAAAGGAGACGCCGTTAGCTGTTCCCCGACAGAGAATTCAGATTTGTTCTTCTCCGTACTCGGCGGTCTCGGACAGTTCGGTATCATCACCCGAGCTAGGATTTTGCTTCAGCCAGCTCCAGACATGGTGGGTAATTAACTAATCAAACAAATCAATATTGATTAGATTCACTAATCCATTTACGCAACGTAAATTGTGGGGCATTAATCAGGATTTGATGATTTGATTAGTGGGGTTAATTAGTGTTTCTTTTTAACTTGTGTTAGGTGAGATGGATAAGGGTGGTATACGCCGAGTTCGACGAGTTCACTCGGGACGCGGAGTGGCTGGTGAGTCAAGAGGGCGAGTCATTTGATTACGTGGAAGGGTTCGTGTTCGTCAACGGGGAAGACTCGATCAACGGATGGCCCACGGTTCCGCTTGACCCAGAAGACTGGTTCGACTCGGACCGGATCCCACGATCAGCCGGTTCGGTTCTGTACTGTCTCGAAGTGGCTCTTCACTATCGGGACTCAGACCGCAAATCCACCGTCGATACGGTAACGTTTCCGAAACACTCCCATTATTATCGCATGCTTCGCGTCGTACTGTAACTACGATGCGGGGGATTTTTCTTCGCCGTCCGATTTCACGGGGTCGGAGATCGGGCGGTGGAGAGGAAGCTTCGGTGGATTTTCTAGAAACTTTGTTGACCGGCACTTTAGGATTTGCGGGACCCATGGTGAAGTGTTGGCCGAAGTGGGACCCGTAGTTTGCTAGGATGAAATGAGTGTCAAAAAGTAAAGTTAACAGTCACTCGACACGTATTAAAAAACTCAGGTGTCGGATGAAATTGGTTTTTATTTTGTGTTTTTTTTTAGTTTTTAGTTTTTAGATTATAAGTTCGTAAATCTAAAAAAAATATAGTTTTTAGTTTTTAGTTTATTTTTTTCATAAAGTAGATTTTAGAATTTTTATCGGGTTTTTCATTTTTTGAAATTCAAAAACTCTAAAAACCTTTATCCGTTTTGAATAGAAATGGCTTTTGAAGTTTTTAAAATTTAAAAACCAAACAAATTAATAATCAAATTTTTATAAAAATAGTTTTTCTAAAAATTTAAAAAACTACTTTCATCACAAAATTAACTAAAAACTAAAAAATTCCTCTTTTTTGGATTTATAAAAACCACTCTCATCCAAAACCTCAATCTCCGACGAAGATCGCTTTATAAGTTCTCATCCTCCACTACTACACAATATATATATATATATATATATATTATATATAAAAAATAAATCATATTCATTTTCAAAATTATTATTGTTATTATTATTATTATTTGGGAAAGATAGGGGGTTTGACAACAATATCTATCTATCTCCTGACTGATTTCAGACTATGAAACTGACCACACATCGGGTAATGTATCTTCCGTTAGATTCGTCTGTCAGGATTGTGTTTTCTCCGAATGTGCCCTCGTAGTGGCCACATAATTACGAAAGTGACATTGCCTCCTCTTTCTTTGTCTCACCTTTGTCTTCCAAATGAAACCCATGTTCATATTTCCCCGTTTCTAACATTCTTAAATCACATAGATGCTAATATATATATTTTTAAAAAAAGAAATATAACAATACGTGTCGAAGCGATCCATGGTCCTGGACCAGGGGCAAAACCGTAATATAACCGCTGAGGTGATGTTATGGACATAGTGTCGTACAACACGACGTCGACAGTT